CACAGCGCGATGTTTTCGTCGCGCTGTGATGACGTCAAATGCGCGTTTTCGTCGAGCGCGATTTTGTCCTCCGCGGTTTTGACGGGTCATGGATGAAGAGACCCCAAACTCATTGGTAGCCTCACATTGCAATGAACAAGGACATACATTCAATTTCAGCCAACGACTTAATAGCCCGCCGTCAATACCCCAATCAACACATAAAACACACACACAACCACATAAACACTACATATCAAATAGCCCAAAGCATACATTCGCGTACACAGAAGTTCCCTGAGGATGAGTCCAGCACAAGTCTGAAAACTTGAAAGACTAAATCTCTGGTCCTGCTAACTGACTCAGATTGGATCCTACAAAACAATATCAATGTCTATTTAATATAAAGGTTTCAGATTTTGTTTGTTTGTTTAAGTAATAGAAATTCTTTGTACAAATATATGCTGGACAACCATCTTCAGAGTTCAAAAAAGATACTGTCGCCTTGTTCAGAGCCCAGTGAAGTCAAGTTTTATATATCTTCCAACAAATCAAAATCTGGAAGTATCAAGTGTCTATGCACAGTGATATGCTGGTACTGGTCCCCACTTGCAAGACTATTGGAAGTCCTCTCGGTACCAAATAAAACCAAAGAAACTTCATCTTTATTCTCAGCAAATACCTACAGGTAATTGAAAAATGAAAGGCAAATACAAGGGAGCAGTGTAGACTTTACCACAAAATCCTTCATTGCTACAGCTTCATTTCCTCATTTTATCTGCATCACATTATATATAAGCTTTCATGCTCAAATGCCAGTATATTGGGAGGATGGAGAGTCAATATGTTGAAACAATTTTTTAATCTAAATAATATATTTAAAAAGTCTGATCTTATTGGGTAAGAAGTGTTTAAAAACAACAACGCTCATCAGCTTCTGGGTTGTAAAACAACACATTGCCTTCTTTCTGCATCAAAAGACTAATAAAATAAATAATGTCTTAGGATGTGAAAGAAGGTATCTTCTTAAGTTTTAGCTTCATTTACTGTATATTTCAGCTTTAGGTAACTCTGGGGAATGAGATACAAATGCTACAGTAGAAGAAATGTTCATGAAGCACATGCACCTCTCTCTCAAGTGGCTGAAAAATGTCAATTTCCCAGCAGTACTTCACATCATTAAACCAGAAGAGGCTTGAAGCTAGGTTTGAACCAGGGCTTTCAAGTACTGAACCGTAACATACATCCGGTTGTACTGTGCCATATCACCCTAATAAACATATTTTCAGCTAAGATCTGCAAAAAATGTGCAAGAGCTTCATGCAAGAAATGCGCAAGACAGCCTTTTCTCCAATTTGCCTTCCACCCTCTAAAGTGGAATACTGATACTGAGGTTTTCCCAACATCATGGCATCCATGGCAATAGTGTTCATTGACTCTCTAGAACAGGGGTGTCAAACTCACGCCATCATGGTGGAGTCACATGATGTATAGGGACTTTTTCTCCCTTTGCTAAACCAGGCAGGGACTTGGCCAGCACGTGATGCATCTGGTCTGCAGGTCAGGAGTTTGACGGCCCGGCTCTAGAACAACTCATTGATGGCTTCCAAAAGTGGGAGCACATAGCAAAGTTACATCTATTACAGATGGCACTTTGCACCAGCAGGGTTGGATAGAATGTATAAAGATAGATCAGCCAAATATTGGAAATGTAACCAAACACTGGGTTTGTATTACCATATGTGGTGGCTGTGTCCCAAAACTAAAAAATACTCGTCAAAAATATATATCTGGTTGGAAAAAATAGCAAAGAAGAATATTGAACTGAGACCCATTTCTGTTGGGCATTTTACTGGAAAAATACGACAAAAAGACTATATATTTTATTCTACACGTACTGACCGTGGCTAGGATTGTAATTGCACAACAGTGGAAGTGTGAGGAGATCCCGTCAGACGAGAGAGTGATTCAGAAAATAATGGAACGTGCAGAAATGGACAGATTAACACTTATTATCAAGGATAGAGAAGAAACTGAATATTTTTTGACGTGGGATGTATTTTATCAATGGCTAGAGAACAGAAACAGAAGTTAGGAAGGAGGAGATATAAGAAGAGAAAATGTTGCCCTGGAGATAAGTTTATGAAGACATTATTGTAATTATCTTGATATATAGTTGTATTATAAATGTTACTGTAATGAATATAAAAACAAAAATGTGGCCTATGAACTCTCAAATAATTGTACCCAGTTCACACACAGTTTGATGGAAATGAAAAGTATTATAAATAAAATAAATAAAACATTAAAAAAAGAAGCCATCTATTACAGAAACAAAAATTTAAACAGACTTGTAGTCTGTAGTGATTTCTTGTTTATAACTTAAATCATTATTGGTGTCCTTCTTTTACCTGTCTCTGCACAAACATTGTCATCACTTTCTTGGCTTGTTCAAAAGGAGACTCTTCTCCAGGAGTGGAATTGNAAAAAAAATTTGCCTCTTCAAAATCTTGGTGCATCTTATATACTCTGATGTATCTTATACTCCGAAAAATAGAGTATATCTTAGAAACTTTTTCTGGGAGTGTCCCAATTTCCAAGGATTTGGCAAATACAAAAGAGGGGGGAGGAGGAGGAAACTCTTTCCTGTTGCAGGTGTGAAATCTGCTTCTCCAATATTAGCTATCACTCACTGACCACAGTTGGGACCAGCAACTAAATGGAAAATCATCTGAATGCTACGCAGTTATTTCCCATTCTGTCAGTAAGCAAGCCACCAAGGTTGTTAAGCAAGGCATCTTGTGACCACAATTTATGATTTTACTGTTGCGTTCTCCATTAACTCCGTTTACTGGAAGCCAATTGTGAACAGCACAAATTGCAATCATATGGCCACAGGATGTTGCAATGGCTTTAAATGTGCACCAGTTGCAAAGCACCCCAAAGGGCGATCACAGGACTATGGGACATTGCAAGGATCATAATGTGAGGATTGGTTGTAAAACTGTTTTTTTAACATCATCGTAAGGTTCAACAGTCATTAAACAAGAAAGTCAGTATGTGAGGACTACCTGTATGTATATTTACTATCTACCCATGTCAGTATGAAGAACCTGCTCTTAGCTAACTGCAGGATAACTGCAGAAATCTATAGTCAGGCCTAGAAGAGAAATCTGACAAAATGTCAGACAGACTATACAGACACAATAAAACATTTTCCTCTTGTCTGAACTGAGCAAAATAATGGATTGTAAAAAGACTCACAGCCTTCCCTGGAAAACGCTGAACTCATACCTTGAATAACATCTTCTTTCTGAACTTCTGTTTCATCATCATCATCTAAACAATAAACTGTTTCTTTCTGGATATCCTCTTTTTTATAAGTCTTGGCATCAACAACTATCCAGGATTTTTTCACATTTTCCTCTGTGAACTTGGAACCACATTGAGAGAAAGAGAAACAAGGGGTTTAACTTTAATTTATGAATAAAAAACAAACCTCACCTATTAGATTTTACTGCCTAGAATTACAGGTGACAGAATAATGGAATGATCTTATTTAACAGTATAACTTTCATTGATTACAAGAGATCAGAGCATGTCTATAAAGCTGTCTTTATTATACTGCTTAAATACAATATATTTATAAATGCGAAAAGTTTTCCAAATGAATTAAGGAAAACTGTTAATTCCTAATAGTTTCGCAACTCCAAGGCATCTGATTTCTCCAAATTAATATGACATTTAGAAACCAGATTATGAGTTTTTGTCTGATTTATTAAAAATGCCTGCATTCTAGCTGTCTCAGCTACTCCATTTAATACTTGAACATGTATTTAGCTCAGATCAGTTATTTTGGCAATGTCTGAATGTGAAACTAATTAGTCCTCGATATGGATATTAGTCCCATTTTACTTGGCAACTCTGTTGGACTGTGTCCAGCTTTGCTAACACTGGATTAAAATGAGTTCTAGTCACTTACTGTTTTGTAGGCCACAATCCTGATAGACAAGTTAGAACCAATTGTAAGCTGGCAGGGCCATGGCATAGGTCTCCGTTCAACTTTCTTAAACACTGAAAGACGCTCCAGACTCTCCCTTTAATAAGCAAACATGGAGGAAATGAGACTCAGTTAAAAAACAAGAACAATTTCACAATCAGCAATTCTGTTTGCCCATTTTCACAAACTATTTGTTGGGCACTTATTAGCTGTCCAGTCCCAAAAACCACACCTAAATTATGGTCTAAATATTATGTTTTCAGATTGTCTAACACAGAGGGATCAAGCAATCACTTCTCCATCTGCTCACTAATCTCTGGGTTAGAACTGACATATTTTTCATGGGTAGAAATCTGACAAAATCCACATATGGCAGCAAATGCAATGCTTCTTCCATAGAGATTATTCACAAATTCAGATTCCATTTATCAAGTCCTATGTATGAATGCACATTACAGTACTAAACTTGTGACATCAGGTAAGGATCCATCACAGGTGTCAAACTTGAAACGTCATGTTGTTGTCACTTCCCCTCCCCCTTTGCTAAGCTGGGTGTAGGCGTGGCCAGCATGTGATGCATCCAGCCCACAGGCCGCGAGTTTGACACCTCTGCTCTACATTCTCTGTTTGTGTCTTGATTAACACAGAATTTCAAGTAGCATCTGCCTCATGAACACAAAGGGGTCTTCCACACTTCCTGCTTGTAAAATTACTCATCTTTTCTGGCTTCATATCTAAAGCCATGTTTTCTGAATTCCCACAGTGCACACTATGCCTAATAGTCCTTCTGCTGCACTTCAGGTTGTTGTACTCCATCTGGTAAATGTACACGCTGGTGGGAGATTTCCCTCTTCACCGATGTTACTAGTTGTCCTCCAGAGACACTTTGCCATGGGCTGCTGAGTGTTGACTCCTTCTTCTGAAAGAACCTTCCCTGAAAAGAAATGGCCTCTTTTCCACACCTTTGGGCTCATGAAATGGTGAGCTTTTTTTAATTTAACCAATTTCACATAAATGTAACGAGGCAGTGCTCAACTCTGCTTGATGTCCAATAGAGAAATAGCCTATCAAAATGCAGCAAGGCAGTGTCATGTTCTCTACCGTGATACCATTCACTGTAGTTCGTGGCATATCCAGGAGCTGTAATGCTCGCTTGTGATACCCAGGGCACTGTTTCTCAACCACGGCAACTAGAAGACGTGTGGAATTCGACTCCCAGAATTGTCCAGGCAGTATGTAGGGCACCGATCCTCAAACTACAGCCTGCGGGTCGGAAAAGGCCCACCAATGCAAAGAATCTGGCCTGCGGAATGGTGGGATTCAGCCCCGCCCCACCCCTCACCATCAGCCTTATCTTCCAGCGAGCATCCACTGCAGATGCACTTCTGGTTACTTATTTCACTGGTTGAGCTGCACTTCTAATCACACCGCTGCTGCTGAAGGTAAGGCCAAAGGGTGCGGGGGAGTACCAGCTGACTGAGGGGTGATCTTGCCAGTGCAGCCACGTGATCCAGGGCCGGTGGGTGAGTAGGGGAGAGGCATGTTTAGCAAGGACAAAGGCAAAATAGATTGCTAAATTGGCCATGCCCACCCAGTCACATGACCACCTAGCCATGCCACCCAGTCACATGACAACTTAGCCATGCCCGCCCAGCCGGTCCAGCCCCCCCAATAGTCTGAGGGACCATGAGTCAGCCCCATTTTAAAAGTTTGAGGACCCCCGATGTAGGGGAAGGTATATTGAAGGGGTAGTTAGAGATTGGGGTGAAACTAATAAGAGTGCTGCTGGCTTTCCCTTCTATGTTGACAGGATTTGAGGAGCGGGTTCCCCCTACCAATAGATTGTGGAACACTGGGGTGCTTCTTGCCAGTTTTGACTTTAGCTCAAGTGATAGCAAGAACAGTGAAATAGTAGTGTTTCTTCCACATTTACTGTTGTAATGAAGCATTCATCAAGACCAAGCAACTCCTGCATGGAACAAGGGAGTGGACTAATGACCTTTATGGTCCCTTCTGAGTGTATGGTTCCGTGACATCTGTGTGTTCACTCATGCAAATGGAAACCATACCTTGTCCTAGCAGAAGTTGGCAGAATAAAGACGCTGGGGAATCCACCAGTCAAGGACCATAGTAACTATGTTTCAGACAAAACACCTGGCCATCATCGCTGCCAAAGTGATAAACTCTGAACAGAATTTTTAAGGTTTCATTTTCAGCCAGGATTATCATAGGAGAAAAGCAGCGGAAGGCTGTCATGTAGAATTATCCCAAAAAGTAAAATCTCTTTTGCGTTGAATTTATCTCCTGATGATTCACAGACACCTTTATGTACTTTTCTTGGCGAGAGCAAGCAAGTAGTTTGCCCTTGTCTCTTTTTGCTATTTTTTCATGTTTTTTGGCTATGATTTCCCAACCTGTTCTATTTATATTTCTCAGCACTCACCCAATCAAATACTAATTGGGCTGTAATATGTTTTGTATCCAAGCTCAGACATGACTGGCCAGCTACTGCTAATACTCTAACACCTTTATAACAAGAGGGGGCTTTTGTATGAGTGCTCACCGCTCATAGCATCCATAAAACTGGAAACTCAACCTGGCTTAAAGTAGATAAGTTATAAGGTGCAAGAGAAGAGAGTGAAGCATAGCAGGTAAGGCAGAAGGAAACTCTAGATATTCTTTTCTACATGAGTAATATAGCTTAGGAAAAGGAGGAATAAAACTTTCATTGATGCTACTGAAGCCTTGAGTACAGAAAACATACCTCCATATAGTAGAGTTCTTTTCACAAGAACTGGAGGATTTTTATTTTACCTGAAAGTATAAATGTCCTCCAGACCTTCTTCGTGGTCTAATGAAAACATGAGTTTTTTCACCATCTGGAGCCCTTCCTTTTGCTGTTTACTTAGACCCTTTCCTGGAAAAGAATTTCTGCTTCTGCTATTATGCGTCCCGGCAGATGCATTCTCATCTCTGTCTTCATCATTCATTGGAAACGGCAAACTAAAGAAATAATTGAAAGCATTTTCAATTTACAACCCTGATTCGTTAGGAAACAAGTGAAATAAGTTTTCTATTTTTTTTAAAGAAAATAAGAACCTAAAAGGAAAATTGCAAACTGACGCTTTGAATGCATCTTTTGATATCACTAAAAAATAAAAATGTCATTGTCAAGTCATAGCAAACAATTGCTGCCGATAGGTATTGCCGGAGTATTAGTCATAGGAACACGATTGTACAATTTCTTGGTAGTTTTCAAATGTTAAAGAATTTGTTAAAATAAAAGTGCACATATTTTCTTCTATAAGGAATTTATTACGGCATCAGAAATTCTATTTTCTTCTCATTTTTATATTAATGCCAGCTGCAAATCTATATGTTATAGTAAATACTCTTAATAGCAACTGGTGAGACAGAAAATGTCCCATCATGTTCAGTTCAGGATAATGAAAAAGGCCTTAAGAGAGAGAAGGAAATATATTTTCAACTGCTTTTAAGAAGACTGGATGGTGCTTCTTTATCACTTTTCCTTTCCTTTCTGTTCTCTATTGCACTTTAACTTATTCCTTTTCAAAATGTTTTCCTTCTTTTAAAAATTTCTTTAACAAAAAATTATATGCATAAAAACAAGATAAAAGAAAAGGATGCAATTAATATTGGACTAGTGATTATCTAGAAACACAGTCACATAACAGAAGCTTCAGGGAGAATATGATGAGCAGTAAAGCATTTAACCTTCCCTCTCCCAAAAAAACTGTGTCCCAAAGATGATAACTTTCCCCATGTCCAAGGTACCATTTAAGACGCAAAAAGAAAGACATGCAACTTATATAGGAGTCATTCCTGATTTTCTAGTAAAAACACAGCTGCCAAATGAAAGATGAAGCTTAAGTTCCCCTAACTCTTCAATTAAATATATATCTAAGAAGACTGGGTATTCTTGATTTGTCAGAAATGGCAACCTGATCCGTTGCATCTCACTGACTTATAGAAAATAAAACATAGACCAGAATGAGTTTCATTTTCTTTTTTAGGCTACAATTCTATTTATGCTTATTGAGAACTGAGTGCCACAGTGTGTCTTTTCTGAGCACACTGTATAATTCTGTATATTTAATATAACTGCCTATTATTTTCCACTACCTGGTGGCTTTTGAAGGTTAATATAATGTAAACATTATTATTAAGTGAACGCAATTCTCAGCATTATTTGAACTAAAACGACCTGTTTCACATACCTATGTAAGTGTGTAGGAGTCACCACTCCCCCTCCCCCATACTTAAAATCTAGGGACAGAAACAATTTCCATAACTGCCCATTTCCAGGCCTATATTAATAGCCAGAGGTGCCTGTATTTTGTACAAACAGGGAAAACAGTACAAAAATGTAAATAGGTGAGACATTTGATTTTCTGAATGCCAACTATATTTTTAAAACTTTAAAAAAAAAAATTGTTTGAAAAAAGATAATTTGACCTGTTTATTCTGAAAACTAACCGTGCATTTCAAGTGCCAGGAAACAGACAGTTGGTTGACCTGTTATTCTAAGCACATGATTCATTTTGCTATGGCTTTCTGAATAAACTACAACTGATATAATATGCTAAGCCATAAGCAAGCAAATCACATTTGGCTTAGCCTGATGAATAAACCCAGCCACAGTTTATGTTCTCCATAACTCTTTCCCTCTTTGTAAATCTACTAAAAACAGAGTAAGGGTATGCAGAATAATCAATGTATGGAAATTCATTTAATTTACATATATAATTTGCCAAGATCAGCTTTCCTGAATTCAAGATTTGTTTGTTTTTATTGTACCTGGGACTGGTTATGGCAAGCTGCAGTAGCTATTCCACAAGAGAAAAAAAGCACACGGAGCATGTTTTCTTGAATGCTTTCCAATCCTTTCACCAGGAGGGGCCATTTCCTCCTGTGTAATTAACTCTACACCTTAACACTGTGGTTAAGTGAATCTAGCTTCCCCACTGACTTTGTCAGAAGGTTGCATAAATGATCACACTGCAACCGTCATAAATATGCACCGCTTGCCAAGCATCTGAATTTTGATCATGTGACCATGGGGATGTGCAGTAGTCATAAGTGTGAAAAACTGTCAAAAATCCCTTTTTTCAGTGCCGCTGTAACTTCAGACGGTCAGTAAACGAACTGTTGTAAGACTAGGACTACCTGCAATAAAAACATTAAGACTGCTTAAGTTAAGAGTAGGAATACATTCTTTTCTGGTTATGATTTTTCACAGTTCTTTCATCACTCACAAAAATTGAAGGGAGATGCCAGTTTTTTTCAAGTTATTTATGATAATATCCAGTTGATCTTCACTGAAGGGAGTCCCAAGATCAGTAAAAACCTCAATATGCCGTTTGTCATATTTTTTTCCTCTAAAAAGTAAAAAAAAGTAACAACATTTCAATTACATGATTATCCACATGGAATACTGTGCTTCCTAACAAAAAGTAGTCTTATACTTCTAATGATGTCAGTCCATGTGCTTCAAATCTTAAGTCAATATAAAATATGTTTAATTAATACCATATTCTCTGACTGTTGTTAATCATTGTCTGGAAGGGTAGAATAAGAAATTGTCAAAATATTAAACAACTAGTGAAAGAAAACAAAACATGTTCTTACAGCCTGTAACATGAACTACTAACTTCTAGTTATTGTAAATCAGGATAGCTGAACCCAGGTGAATGAATACTCCTCATCCTGACAATTTCCAAAAAACATTTTGAGTTCACTTCCCAAAATTCCCATCCAAATGTTAGCACATTGTCACAGATCCCTTGGGCAAGACATTAATCTGATTGGCCGCTTTGTAAGATAAGATACTTCTCATGTTCAGTTCATGTTTTGAAAAAAATAAAAAAGTTTATTATTTAAGCAATTTCCAGGGTTTTTCTTGAATCTGTGAACAATGATTATGAGGAACCACTTATTGTGAGGACTCTCTCATTGCTCCCATTGACCAAGTGGGCTTATTTTTAACTTGAGGGAGATGCTCACAAAGAAAGTGAAATTTCTCAGGCATTTTATTAGGCAGCGTATTATGTTTAAGTGGCCTAATAAAATGCCTGAGAAATTTCACTTTCTCTGTCAGCAGCTCTCTTTTTGTGATGATGAATTAGCTTTGTTCAATAGCATGTATAATTTCTTAACAAATATAAAATGCTGTATCCGTCTCCACTTCATCTCATTTGCTATTCTAACTATGGAAGAATGCTGTTACAGCAGTTTTCAGAAATCTTAAATACAGCCATATACTTACATTGTTTCTTTCTGAAGCAAATCCATCGACACAATCAGCGCATCAAGAACTTCAGTATGTTAAGAAAAGATTTTTTTTTAAAAAATGAAACATTTCAAAATATGCTGACCAGGATTTGTTATGCAACATTTATTGAGGAAAATTTTGCTCAGCTTCACAATCCCCAGCTTTGGTGGCTACAGCTTCTGACATCCTTCAGCTAGCATAGACATTGGGAAAAGCAAAAGTAGTATCTTTCAAGTAAGCAGAATTGTTAATATGTACAGTAGCAATAGCAATAGCAGTAGACTTATATACCGCTTCATAGGCCTTCCAGGCCTCTCTAAGCGGTTTACAGAGAGTCAGCATATTGCCCCCAACA